GATGTGACGGTAGTGAATTGGAAAGATTCACATTCACGAGCAGAGCAAATTAAACAACTATTCTGTCGTTTGTATTCCCTAAATGATGCAATAAACAAAGAACTGTCCCCACCGTTGCCCCGATCCCGACGCCTCTCAACCGTGGATCATCAGTGCACAATGTTCGGACCGGCTATCGATCAACCGGATTTCAGTGAAACATTTTTTCGTTCCCTATTGCGGTGGGTTGATGTGGAAACGTGTGGCCGCTTCCTATCTGAGAATGTCCCTATACGAGGTTCGATCAATTCCAGTTGGGCAGGATTGGGTCTACCCCTGCGATTGCCCAGTTCACCGAACGCGGAAACATTTCGTCTGATCATTCTGCATGCTCGAAACAAATCCACTCGTGCTTCTTTGCCTTTCGGAGGCAGTCGTATAAGAGGTAGCAGTCTGCTAAACTCTGATCCCGGACGACCTTCCGGAGTTACCCTGACACACGAGGCTGCTTTAACAGTGTCTCAATCGAACAGCATAGTGTACACCGTGGACTTGAGACCTACAACCGATTCACCCAGTTCGAACAGCCTCGAAGCAGATGAACGCTGGGCCCAGATGCGTATGGAATTGATTGCGGTCATCGCTATCATGTCGGACAATCAGAAATTGCTTATTCTCGGTTTGCAACGCACCGCATCCGATTTGGGCAATCGGATCAGACCGTACGAAGTGGTCAAGCACCTGAATATTGCGAGCAGTTCCAGTGAGACTGGAAAACTATTGAATGAAAAACGGATCAATTGGCGGGTATGGTGTACAAGTGCGGACGAGGTGAACAGTGCTCATTTGGAACAAATATTCTCTTGGTTGACATACGATGAGGAATCGATTTTGAAATAAACACCAAGGTGTTTGCATGCGCGTGGGTGTTTGCGCACGCGTGTATGTGTGTGATGTAGCACTTGGTTACTTGGTTACATCCAATCGATGTGCGTTTGTGATTCCCTTATTTTTGTACTTTGTGATTTGAGCAACAAAATTATCACTGATTTTTTTCTTACACTTGACATTCTATTATTGTTTCCTACACAAGTGAAAAGTGGACCATTCTATGCATCATCGCAAGTATACTACAAGATTGACGTATTCGATTTATAGGAGGAGTATCTGGGTGAGTAGACAGAATGTCCATGAGACAATCGGGTTCGTAAGTGTTGCCTCTTCTCGGGGATGTCTGGGAGTATTTTTCACACTTTCCGATTTTCTCTCTGTTATCTAATCAGACAGCCTCAGTCTGAAGGTATATTTCCGTTTTCATTTTGTTTTGTGAAATATTTACCCACTTATACATTAGGGAATGCAGTTCGAGGATATTTGGTATAAATTGGCTTCAAATGGGTAAAGATCAATATATATCATGATCGACTGTTCGATGAGCAACTGGGTGATGATGATGAATAGCTTGGCGAATTAGTTCTGAGACAATGAATGACACGGTGGAATCTTTGAAACCTCAAACCGCTAACATGAAGGCGGATGCTTCATCGAAGTGATATAGCACAAGAAATAAATGGGTTGAGAAAGTGCTTCCGCCACACTCAGTCAGATATGTCAGGTAGCGTAGAATGTAAGCTTTTCAGTAGATCAAGAACAGACTAGTACTATGTCAAAATCGACCGTTTGTTCCGTAAGGGTTTATCTTTTTCCACGGAGTCCACTATTCGTTATATATGGCGAGACCGCTGTCCAAGCATCTATGCGTTTGGGTTTGATGAAAACCTTTTGGGGGCTAATCTTGTATCTCTTTGAGATTAAATGTGAAAATAGTATAACCGTCAGCGTATGCAACATCATCCCAGCTATAACTGCGAATAAAATCTTGCATCGGTACACATGCTGGATAGTCACGTGACGGGACAAGTGTGTTATGGACAGCATAGTCGTTCGTATTTATATTTATATTGGTGGACTGAATAGCGTTAGTGATAGGCATATTATTTAGGATTAGCAATCATTCATTTCTTTGGAGCTGAACATTTTAAAAAGCTCATCCAGATTAATGCAAAATTGACGAACAATAAAGTCTCGTTCCTAACATCACACAATCACGTGAAAATACGTCTGTGATCAGATAGACCAATGTTTATGTTCGATGAAACAAAATTTGGTCAAACCAAGTGAATTTTTGACATTGATAGTACGTAACCACAATTAGCGTTTCATAACCGTGACAATACAACGCTACTTAGGTGAATAACTAAATTCCGGGGTTGATGAATGGACGGGGAAGTAGATAAAATCTTCAAAACGTTGAATCACAACTGTTCGTCAGACAAAAGGGTAGCTACCGGAGAAAGTTTTTAAATCTCAAATTTATCCAGCCTTACCTAATTCGTACACTCCATCCATCGCACACGGAGTAGATGTGATTAATATCTCCGTTGATTGAAACACAGCGATATCAGAATCACATGATCAAACAGCTGATTCACTTACACTGGCAGCACGTTACCAAAATGAACTCAAACCGACTGCTTACTTTACTGTACTGTGGTTGACTTCTTGAACGGGATAATCCGGTTCCGTGAAACTATGGAGTTTCATAGGGAGTTTGATACCGGAGGTGTCACTAGAGTCACTCGAGACGATTGATTTGCATGTTTTCTGAGTCGCATCTAATGTTTATTGAACCAACTTCAACATAACCTATGAGTGCAAATCAATTAAATCTCAGTTTCCTATTCCAAACCTATGTCGTTTGCTCCTCACCATGTGCAATCACAAATTTGGCAAAATTTGAAAATAAACTGGTAGTCAAACTACTTAAAGTTGATTCGCAGTCACATATATACGCCTAGGCTGATCGATTAAGTTTAGACTAAAAGCTGTATTTTCGTTAATGTTGGTAGCCAAATAATGATGTACAGCACTGTGTCATCGATCTATAATTAGGAGTTTTGTTTTCTTCAAACCATCATCCGAATTCATCACAAGATGAATTCCTTTAAACAGATCTGAACTGACTGATGACTTTTTTTCTGTGTCACTCGACTTAAAAATACGTTAGAGAAAAGATTATAATAGAGACAATCACTGTGTGTCCGTAATTATAAAGACTGTTGTTGAGCACCTGTTTTGGCCAGGTTTTACTGTTATCTGGTAAGGATAACTTTACGCGACCAATGGTGCATGGATCAGGAAGAATAGACCCCGCCTCGAACGCGGAGTAAAATGTTCGTGTGTGATAAACTAACACTGAACGCTAGCACGGAAAAGCGACGAATCTCTCTGGACACATGAATATGAGAAGACCAGTAATTAGAAGAGGAAATATGTAAGCTAAGTGGATCTGTAGAAAATATGGATCGAAAAAACCAAGGTAAGAAGTGTACACATAACACTCCCAAATATAAACATGGAAGAAGGTGTCGTGATGTTGCTCTCTCTCTTTCTCTCTCTGGTGCCCCAAGTAGCGCTTAAATCCAAATTTGAACTGAGTGAAGCTCACGGAGACAATCAATAGCGAGTGGTGGCGAAAGAATAAGCACCGTAATTGTTGTAAGGAAGAGAACCAGGTCGAGTGCCAACATCGGAAAACAAGTGGATTGGATCAAGAGTTTCGGATAAGAGGTAGTCAAATAAAGAAAGGATAAGTGTGGCAGAAACTTGTGGGACGTCGGAGTTTAATATAAGTGAAACAATTTGAACTAAACAGTATGGCGAACAAGCTTATTTTCGTAACTTCGTCTTCAAACCTTTACAGTTCTGAGTGCGTATTTATATCTCATGTAGAAATAAACGTGGTTGGACCATAGAGGTTATGTGTGAAAATGCAACAATGTCTGTCAATTCTGGATTTTTCGGAATTGACCTCCCCCCCCCCCAATCCCCTTCACCCACTGTCCCCATTTTATCCGCTGGTCCCGATTAAACTTGACAGACATTGTTACATTTTCACACATAACCTCTTTGGTCCAACCACGTTTATTTCTACATGAGATATAAATACGCACTCATAACTGTAAAGGCCTGAAGACGAAGTTACGAAAACAAGCTTGTTCGCCATACTGTTTTGCTTTGATATTCACTAGGGGAATCTTCCGTGAATTTGAACTAACTATAGGTTACATCAAGATAATCACCACCACCACCACCACCACGCTTAAGGCTTAAGGCGATTGTTCAACAAGAGTTTTATGCATTCCACCTGTAAAACGAATTCGCTTTATTAAGTAATAATACGTGTTCTCATAAATTAAATGGTCAAATAATATGACAGCACAACAAATGAATACATGGGTATCAAGATCAGTTGATTTCCAGTGCACTTGAAACGTCTTAACGCCACCATGACTACCAGTCAAGGCACGTAGGTGATGGGTGACTTGATCCATTCTACGTCTGTCTACTATCGGTGCTTTCAATCTCCCAGGTGGTTGCTGTCATCCAGAAACAATGGAAGATCAAAACGGCTGGCGATAATTATGGAATTGTCTGAAAACAAACTATTGCAAGCGCTCAGGGCTTTAAGGAGTCACGTTACATGATCCCCAACAGTCTTGTATTCCATAAGGTCATGTGCCACGTTTTCCACTTCTTTGGCAACCCAGTGAATGACTCTCAAGATCCTTAAAGCGATGTGTTTTGAATATTGGATGTTCCAAATTCCAAAAGACTGGAATAGATTTCAAAATTTTGTTGACATGTGTCTGACTGTTGCTAATAGTTCAGACGTTTCCTGCGACTGCACTCCTCTGAACAGCTCCAGTCTTATACCTAGTCACCAAGGGTATCAAACGATTTTGGATACATTTGAAACGAAAATACAGATTATTTGTTTTTCTGAAAGCATCTTTGACCATGTTGGTACGTTGATACGCATCACTAACGGGGACGGATAAATGACAGTCATTAAATTTTATCTGTTTAAAAATCCATTACAATTATTACCATAATATTCAAGCGATGCGAAAACACGATACCAAGTGTGCAGGGGCTAGGAGCGGTTTAACGCTAGCAGTCGTTCAGAATTTTATTTTACATATACAGGTACTACTGGAACTCATGTGACACCCTGACTCTCGCCAGACTGCTCCCTCCCATTGCCTAGCGTTTGGAGCCCTATTCACGAGCATAAATATCGTATTACCTCACACTATAGACACCAAATATCCGTTATAATATCCTGTGTTATTGTTTCTTTCAGTCAGTCGAATACCTTATACAAGTATCTTTACTCGATTTTGATGACGGTTGGCTGCGTATCGGTTGTGACAATGAAAACCCAGTAGAAAACTCATGAGGATTCACTAATAAAAATGATTCTATTCTAATACCATATCTATCCTTCTTCATTTTTCTTTTAGAGATTGTGCCGATCGTTTCGGTATGCATTTTACCCGGATGGTAATCGCAAATGGCATCTTTCACCTTTTCCTAATACATGCCGCATCCTGACCTCTGGCGGGTACTCTCGATGTAAATAACTCTATCTCTTTCTTCAACACAGAGAAAACGTTTTCGCTTACGCCCTATATGGGCCGATGCGGGGTAAATGAATCAAATAGATTTTTGAACCGGCTAATCTAGAAACTGTATAAATTTGAGAAAATAATATATGTCGAGGTCTAAAAGATTTCCATGACGAACCTCGTGGGAGAAAATGCATTGGGTTCTATCTAGGAAAAGTATGGATTTTTGTATCGCTCCTCCAGATAATGATAGTCATCGAAAACCTGTCTGATCAAAGTAACAAATTTAGCACCAATCAATATGCCATGTACCGGAGCCCTAAGACAAGCAGCTTCACATTTTATTCTCACCTAACTCAACAGGCCGGACCAATATTTACTATTTCTGACGAATAAAAAATGGGTTTTGTTTGACTGACTGGATCAACAGATCACCTTATTCCGCCCAGGTTTTATGGTCATCAGTCGTCAGTGTGATAAACCGAATACCAAAAGGAAGACGGATGTAATTTGAATATGTTGACCAAATCGATACATACCAGGGGGATTAAATAATATGTACAAAACAAGCTCATTCGGTCAATCGCGTGCTAGTGTTTCTGCCGTTGTTATGATTCTGTCTGAGCAGCACGGTTTCTGATTGTTTGGTGCAATCGACCTATGCTCTGTAGTCCAGAATACTGTGACATCTACGAGCTTTGCTGATGTTACCCGTGAAGCTTGATTCATCACAGTTGTCCGAAAACTGTAAAGTGTCGCTCCGTGATATGCGTCATCTCGTAGGCTAAGATCACCGTCACCACATTTACCTCGGCTGCAATTCGAATCTAGCCATCATTTTACCATCCCTCAAGCACGAACGGGAAAATACCACGTGCTGCTTCACGTTTTGCTTCGCGAACTTGTCTTGTAGAATTTCACGAGAAAAATGTGAGTATGCAATGAATATTGTACATTAATTCAAATTTAACTCCTATAAGGCTGCGAGTTGATTCATCAGTTGACGATTGTTGCGTCCTGTTTGCTAACTCATGGGTGTCAAAGTAAGCCAGTGCCGGTTGAAGAGTTCAAAATAATTCTTTTCATGCCCTGTCATCCGGTATTCCGCGAAGCACAACAGACCCAAGGTATGATAAAAACTGTCGAAATTCGGATGCCGTCCACCATTCGAAGTCATCGAACCCGCGACAGGTACACTAAAAGTTGGCCGAAAAGTAACTACGAATGATCGTCAAGCTATCCAACATCTTCATAAATTGAATCCCACTTCTTAGTACCTTGATGTTCTTCGGGCCGTCCGTCCCAGTTTCGGCAAACGCCTAGAGAATCGGAGATAAACCAGGTGCATCAATTTCAGAGGGCAGAGGGGGAAGGATGCATCATATCCAATTAAAACAATAAAAAAGAGATTCATCAACATGGTGACCTCCCCGTCGTTTTTGATTAGGACTGACCTAACTGATCTAACAAAAGATTGCCACATTCATGTCGTTGTGAACCACCTTGGCCGTGCAACGTTCACAAGAGTTGTGTACACTGAGGCATTTTGTTTGCCGAGCCGGTGCAACGCATATTACGCAATCGATTGTAAGATCCAGAGCTAATCCTGTGGAAACCAAGTGAATGCCACTGGATAGTGCACTATGCAAGTCATTGACAGAAGGGGATACCCACTGCATTATATTACCGGGTTAGCTATAGTCGTGGTAAACATCAACCAGGCAGACCGCGCTTCGTGGACCGTTGATCCGTCTCAGAATGGGCCCTGGATGTAAACGAGAATTAAGGACAACTGTGAGCCCGTCACTGCCAATCTGCAACTTTAACGTGGAACAATGGGCCACAATTCTATCGAATAGTGATTTCTCGATGGCAGCTCGCAGACTGGAATGTAAAGTTGTAAGGACACTGAAACCGAACGGATCCGGGATGTTGTCAGCGTTACTAACGGCCCCTGAAGGTGGGCGCCGCATTACCACATGCATGCCTTGGGGCCATGGACGCCTGTGCGGAACGACCATAGGATTTATTTATTTCTACTAAAGAGCCG